TTTCTCTATACAAGTTTGAGCTTTGGTCTTTTTAGGATTAAACACTCACAAAAAACAATGTTGTATAATAGGGTTTCAATTTTAATTATTTGTCTAATAAATTATTAATCTATTCAAACTTTTTTTTTTTAATTTACTAACCCATAAGATACAAAATTTAAAGTTTGGAATCGTATTAGAATATAAATTTAATTTTTTATTTAATAAATCTTTTAATTTTAAAAATATCAAATAATTTAGGGATTTATTAGACACAAAACTTGAAAGTGTTCAGAGATCTATTATTTACCAAATTGAAATTTGAGGACCTATTAGATATTTTAAGTTGATGTTTTTTAAAGTTAAAGTGGTATCCGGCCAAATATCAATATTTATGAGATTTGATCTCAAAATCAAATTGTAATAAGAGGAGTAGCCCACTTGTTTTTTTTCAAATGTGGGATCCTTAACATGCCTTTCAAGATTATGACTCTTCTGGGTTAGCCAATCTTGTCCGGATCTCATTTTTAAATCGGATGCTCGTTTGTACTTTTGGGCTAGCGCTCTCATACGACCATATTACTACTCATGGAGTTTTGGCTATGAGATTGAATCCCATGAATATTAATATGGTATCATAACCAAAAAGTTCAAATTAGCATCCTATAAAAATTGGGATCCGACCAGAATTGGTGAACCCCTGGACGTCCCTCCTGAATAAGTCTTTCTCTCTCTCCCTATGTATAAGAAAGAGAAGAACCCTAGTGAAGGATAGCTGCATTTCCTTTTTATACAACTCCGTGTGATGATTCGACACACAATCTCAAGCAGTTCCTCAACTGCAAGATTTCTGCTTCCTTATTCTTTTTGCTTCATACCCGTGTACCTCTACTTGAGTTCTAACTTAAGTATGACGTGCATTTGGCAGAGTATCATACAAGTGCAATATTTACGTGTGTGCATAAGGTTTTTGGAGATGAAAACATATGCGACACCTACGTGGATCTTATCTAGAAATCGACATCAACGATATATATCATTGACTAAGAGGTTGATGCAAAAAAAAAGTAATGATAATACTCCTGCCCTGTTTACGTTACATTTTTTAATTTCTAATAGTTTTTCTTTTAGGAGAGAAAGAGATGTTACAGAAATACTAAACACTTTTTACTAATTCGATACCACGTGCAAACGTACGAAGTATTTTCAATTTAATTTAATTTTATAATAACATAAATAAATGAGAAAAATAATACTATTAATCGTAAAATAATAACAATAATAACCAAAAAAGAAAATCGAGATGTATATATGCAAACGTCATCGAGATATATGTATTTTACTAATTTAATCATTTAATCTTTATGATGTATTTAAATTGCATTATTTCCTAGCACTTTTTTGTAATGAATTTTAGGTTACATTCCATTTTTTTAATATATTATTAAAAAATATAGAAGTACTTTAATTTTTTATTTTGAAAATTTTATTTTATCTAATTTGGGCCATTATGTTTTTTTTTTAAAAACATCTCGTTTGGTTTTTTTTAAATTCTAAAAAAATTTCAAGCTAACATTTTGTTATATATTAAACATTTTAATTTATACTAATTTAATTTTATATTATAATTAAAATTAATAAAAAAATATTTAAATTATATTATTGGAAAATGGAAGACAAAAAATTACCAACGTTTTAGATTTCATACAAATTATTGTTGATAATTAATTTATTAATTTACTATTTACCATTAATTAAAAACTTTTTAATGCTTTTCAACAAAATCAACATGAAATACTGATTATAAAAGAACAATAAAAAAACAATAGTAAACGGAAAAAAAATCAAATTTTAACTATACACTAATCACTATTATTTAACCTCATAAATTATGGAATGGAATGATAACGTCGCAAGCCTTGTATTCGAGATATAGATTCGACACATGTATTCTGTGCAACTTAATGAATATGCCACCAACATGATTTTGAGATTGAATAATATTTAATAGCAATGTTTTGAGAGAACTAAGTATTGTGAAAAATTAGTGAAAGAAAGTATATGTTTTTATAATAGTACGAGATAAAATGTTACAAAACTTTTGAAGTTCTTGTAATTAAAGAAGAAAATTTAATTTTATGGGTAGAAAATATCTTTTGTATATATTCTAACCTGGTTTATCATATACATTTATTGATAATTAATATTAATAATTAATTTAATATTTATAATAAATTATTAATGACTTAATTTGTCAATTAATAAATTAAGACAGGGACAAAAACATCCAAAAATATTTTTCGGAGATCCTCCAATTCATTGCAAATTCTTAATTAAACTAAATTCCTTTCCAATCATTGAAATTTCTTGTTTGTATAATATTTTATTATTATATCCATATAATTTTAGGAGATAAAATAATAATAATATTATTATTTTTACTAGATATAATAATATTATTATTATGTTTTAATATCAATAGTCATGATAGAGAATCAATCTTAAATCAAATTAGTTAAAACTTGAAAATTTCATATTTATTGTTAAAGAAAAAAAAAACTTTGAAAATATCTCAATCCAAATAAGAATTATTTAAGAAAAATGCTTTCAAATGTAAAACCAAAATTACGTGATAAATTGGAGGGCTTATCTTCCAATTTAAAAAATTAATGCATTTCAAATAGGAACATTCAAACTCGTTACCCTTACATGGCTCTATCATAAGAAGACAAGTATTAAGCTAATGTCATTGTTAATTATTTTAATTGAAACTCATAATATCATCAAAAACCTCTTTTTTAGTATTTTTAAAAAGTGCTTTAAGGATTCTTATTTCTTCTTCCTTTTTTCTCTCCCCACAACTTCTCACCTCTGTTTTCTCTCCTCTTTTGTCTCCATTTTATTTCTCAACTTGATGCACTCCTGTAGCCTCTTTTTTCTCTTGTTTTTTTCTTAACTTAATGCATTTCAAATTTATTGGATAAAAAATACACATATATATATATATATAATTAAAACTTATAATCTCATCAAAATCTAGCTATTTAGTTTTCTAATACGGTGTCTGAGGATTCTTCTTCCTTTCTTCTTCCTTTCATCTCCCTCTCTACAACTTCTCACCTCCTTTTTCTCTCTTTTTGCTGCTGTAACTTCTTTCTTCTTTTCACTCCTTCTTTTTCAACTTAATATAGCTCCAATTTATAGGATAAATTAACATTGAGAATATTAACAAAAAAAAAAAACATAACAACAGAACCAAAAAAAAAACACTAACTCACTCGTTCCAAATAAATCAAAGGTACACTCATATGTGGTGTGTTTAATCCAATATCCTAAAACTTCTTCAATTACATACCTTTACAAAAATGGCTACGAACACAAAACTATAGAAACCTTCGTCTAAAATTAGTAGACAATACAACATGGAACCAAATATGACTCTTCATTTACAACTATAAAATTAAAAATAATATATATATATATATATATTTATTTATATATAGTGTACTATTATTTTAAAAAGGAGGATACAGTAGTGCATAGAGAAAAAAATGGAGACGTAGGAGAGAAAAGGAGGTGAGAAGTTGTAGGGAGAAAAAAAAGGAAGAAGAATCCCTAAGCACTTTTTAAAAATAAAAGAGATTTTGATGGGATTATGAATTTTAGTAAAATAAAAAAAAAAAAATAGCCCAACACTTGTCTTCTTGTTATAGAGCAACCTACCCTTTAAGGAGCGAAGTTAACGATTGTTGAATGCAGTTTTCTGAGTGGTGTTTGATTTCAAATTCATTATAATTTTGTAATCTCTACAAATTCCAGATTACAAACAGAGGTATAAATGAGAGTTCAATCCTCCATATTCATATTTGTTGTACTAAAAATTGAAAAAGAAATTATATTCTCATCATTTTCTTAATAAATGTGGGACTTATATTCATGTCACAACCGTTGCAGATAGAAACACTTACAAAAAATGATAGGAGATATACTTTTTAAGGCTAAATATATGTTTAGTTCTTGATATTAGGATATTTATTCAATTTAATTTCTATAATTTAAAATTAAAATTTTAATTTAGTATCTTATATTTTAAGATTTTTGAATTATATCCTCTTTGTGGGTGAATTCAAGTGAGTTGATGGCTAGAAATTTAGAGAAGCAAATTAGCCTACAGAGAAAAAAAAAAGTTGAACTTCCTCTCATATAAGCTTATCATTGTCCCAATTCTAACAATTTCACGCATATGATAATGGTAAAATTGGTAAATTTTCAAACAAAAGAGGCTAAGTTGCAACGTGAAAATATTGAGTAACAAAAGATATATTTAATCCGCAACTTTTCAATACAATAAATAAATATATATATATAAGAAGCAACTAAGCTTAGTGGCGACGTGAAAATATTAGGTAACAAAAGATATATTTAATCTGCAAGTTTTCAATACAATAAATATATGTCAGAGATTTTTTAAAGAAATATATATATATATATATATACGGTTTCAAATTAAATAAGTAATAGTTTATTCAAACCGTGTCAGGTTGTGAGTTCGATCTCCCACCCCACATATTGTATTAAAAAAAAAATTATCTAAATCATTGTATCTCAAATCGTATTTTTAAATAAAAAATTTTCCTAATCAAAACGGTCGAATTTTTCAGGATTCTATAGAATTTTAAAATAAATTACTTATTTAACCTTACCCTATTTTAATTTATTATTAGTAAATTTAAATCAAAAGCCTAAATCAATAAACTTTTTAGTTTCTTTTTCATTCCAATGAACATCTCCAAATAAATAAATTTAATTACATTGACTTCAAATCATTTTCGTTCTAAATAAAATAAAAAAATTTTAAATTATTTCCGTGAACAATAATTTGAGGAAATAGGAAAGAAACTTTCCTATTGGTTAATAGAATTTGAATTATTGAGAAGTGACAAATTTTAATATTATTTTTCAGTCATCTTCCCAAGATACTCCACATTAGGATCCATTTGCCCACTCCAATCGGGCCAGCTACACTTTCTTTGTCATTTCCTCATCTTTCTCCATAAATATCAAACCCCATCTTTAGGTGAAGAAAAATAAAAGCCCAGAAGAAAAAAGAACAAAAAGAGAACAGCATTGATCTTGAAGGTAGCCATGAATCAGTCGGATGGAGAAGAAAGAAAGTCACTGCCTAAATACTTCACCATGAAATCGAGGATGAACGGTCGATATCTGCGTTATATAAATGATGACAAAAGTAAAACCATGAATGGCTTTCTCAAGTTCTGTGGATCTCATGTGGTCAGCCCATACGCCAAGTTTGAGGTCGAAGAAGCCAGAGCCAAAGGGAAGAGGGGTCTTGTTCATATCAGGTGTGTTACATTATAGTTTCGGAGTTTTCATTTTTTTTTGCTGTTGTTTGCACATTTCAATTTGGTTTCTATGATTTTGAAAGTTTTAATTTGGTTTCTATTCTTTTTCGTCGCACCTTTCAATTTGGTTGAATCTCACGAGTTTATTGTTCCTAAATTGTATTTTTCTCTCACTCGAGAAGCTCATTTATTTTCTTTTATTTTTAACGGACAGTAAACAAAAATATTTAGTTTTTTCAAATATAGCACTATTTTTTGTAAAAAAACAGAGGTTCAATTTTAAAATGACAACTTTATCCAAATGATATATATTTGTTATATATTTGTTATATATCTGTAATATATTTGTAATATATCTATAATCTATCTTACTACTCATATATGTATATGATATACATCTGATATATTATTGATATGAGTGTCTGATATACTTGCAATATGTATATGATATATATTTGATATACTATTGATATGAGTGACTGTACAATATGTATATGATATATCTAATATAATACTCATATCAACTGATATACTACTGATACGAGTGTCTGATATACCACTGATATGAGTATATGATATACTACTGATATATAATTGAAAATTTTTGTTATATTTCAAAATTTAAAAAACAGGTAACATATTTTGAAATACATAAAATATTTTTGCTACCCACTGCAGTTTCCATATTTTTTATTTAGTCACAAAACCTAATGCAATCAACTAACACACAATTACCAAATAGAAAACTACCATGTGAAATTTTTTTGTAATATCAAGGACCATTTATTTTTATTCTTATTTTTTTTATTTCTCGAAATCAACGCCGTGCGACTTACACTATTGCATCCTTATAATTGGGGCTTGTTGGGTGTTGGGGCTGAGCATTATGACAAGTGGAGTAATGGAATAGAAGACCTCATGATAGGTGATACCACAAAGTCCTATATCTTTGCCACTCTGCCATCCTTTGAGGACATATCAATGACCACTTATGAACTTTGATTAAATCATAGAGACCGAATTGAAACTTTTAAAATCATAATGACTAAATTTAATACTTTTGAAATCATAGGAGCTAAATTGAAACTTTTAAAATTGCAGGGACAAATTTACAAATTTGGACAAACTACGGGGACAAAATTTGTAATTTACCTTATGTTTGCTCAAAAACTTTCACGATATCTCTTTCTTTAATTTCTAAACATTCAAAAAGTAATACCATTTAGTCAAAAAGAGCTTTTGAAGGATTGTGCTCTCAATTTTGAGAGGACGTAAAAGGTTCTAGTTTCTTCTTCGTCCATAAAGTCTAACTTCTTTTGTAATTACGATATCTCTACCATTTCTCTGAATTTGGGTGTTTTTCTCTAGCCTCCTCATCTCTTGTTTCTTTGGTTCGATATCATTTACAAAAAAAAAAAAAAACGCTTTCGGAAGATTTATTTAATGCATAGGACTTTGAAAAACATTTTAGTTCTTGCCAATGAAGGACCCAAATAAATATTTGTGCAGTCCCTATAATTCAAAATAAAATAAACTTAGAAATTCAAAGATAAAAATAGATTGAATCCATAGGGACTAAAATAGAATAATTTTGAAAGTTTAAGCTCTAAATTAAGCTCGGAACCTTGATGGTATTATTTAAATTAGATTTATTTATTCAATAAAGTTTATTCCATAATCTAAATTGGTTTATTGTCTCTATATCTTTTTTTACAACTTAAGTATTTGTTTGGTGTCTTTTTCTTTTTAAGTTAAAAAATATGGATGGAAAATAGACGTCTTAACCAATTAAATTATGTTTTGAGTGGATAACAAAAGTTTAGTTTCAAATATTATATAATTATACCTTTGTCATTTTGTTTTTGAAGGTGTTGTTACAACAAYAAATATTGGGTTCGTTGGTCGGCCAAATCCAAGTACATTGTCGCAAGCGCCAACGAACCTGACGAGGACCAATCAAAATTCTCATGCACATTGTTCGAACCCATCTACGATTACGACATTGAAGCCTTCCGCTTCAAACACGTGGAGCTTGGTCGGTTCCTACAGCTCCGAGAGCATGAGTCAAGGCAGTTCCGCGAGGCACTGTTCGCTGCCAATGCGGGAATTGAAGCCGATGAGTCGGATCTGATGGCAGTGGTGGATTGGTCGACGCTGTTCGTGCTGCCGAAACACGTGGCGTTCAAGGGCGACAATGGCAGATATCTCAGAGTCCATTCTTCTGGGACTCGGTATTTGGAGTTTTCAGAAACCGATGTTGGAGATCCACTTGTGGGGAATCAAATCTTCACCACGCCCGATGGGCACGTGAGGATAAAAAACGACCATTTGGGAAAGTTTTGGATTCGTGATCCTAATTGGATCCATGTAAAAGCAACCGAAGATAATTTTGACGATCCAAACACACTGTTTTGGCCTGTTCGGCTTAATAATAGCAATGGCGTGGCCCTTATCAACAGAGGAAATGATAGATTCTGCAAGAGACTTACTACAGAAGGGAAGGACAATTGTCTGAACGCTGCTGTCACCACCATTACGCCCGAGGCAAAACTCGAGATAGAAGAGCTTGTGATTTCGAGGACGATTTACGACGTGAACTTCCGACTTATGGATGCGAGAATCTATGGTGAGTCATTCGTGACGATGGCGTCTGGGGATGTTGTGAACAAGAATAGTGAACCCGAGAAGCAAAAACTCAAACTCAGGTATCGTTAAACTACGACCATCCAACCTAAAAGCTTAGTTGATATATTACTCTGTATTACATTGTTGTATGGTTAAAGAAAAATTCTTGGCTCTTTAATGAAGAGGACCAAATCTTATTACTAAATAGGCCCTTAACGACTAAGGTATGGTAGATTTATTTGTTCAAATTCTCAACAGGTACGAAGACACCAAGTCATCCACGTGGACAAACTCGGTAGCGACTAAGTTAGGTATGAAGATGTCGATCGAGGCCGGGAGTCCCGAGATCGCGACCCAAGAACTCGAGATTTCAGCAGAGATTAGAGAGGAACGAACATGGGGAGAAACTAAAGAGAGCAAAACTAGAATGGAGGTGGAGCATGAAGTTGTGGTGCCAAGCTTCTCTCGAGTGAAGACCAAAGTGTTAGCAACCAAAGGCTACTGCGACATCCCCTACTCCTACACTCAAAGAGACGTTCTCACCAATGGCAAAGTGGTAATTCAACACTTCGATGATGGGGTCTATATTGGCAGCAATTGCTATAACTACAGCTTTCAAACTGAACAGGAAAAACTGTGATTTCAGAAAGTTATGGTTTTATTGGTGAAGTGTATGTGTGTTTTTTAAGGAATTCATGTACTAAATAATGCTGCCATGTGCACCTTTGAATTCCCCTTGTGTTTCTTCTTTGCATGTGTTGGTAATCTGTGCTTTAAATGAATAAAGAGCTATATGTACTGTGTTTTGCTTTGGGTTTGTTTAGTGTTGTGTGGTGGTACTTAGTGTAATAATTTTATGAATAATTTATTAGCATACTTCTTTTCGCTATTAAGGAACTCACATCCAAGAGAAAACGGACATGAGTTATTCCCCTCATTGTCAATTGATTTTGATATGTAACCTCATGAATATTAATATTCGCTATCTTTCTATTCTTAGGTGTGGAAACATAAAAATAAATTACTATCATTTTGGGTATTCGTTTAATTTTGTTAATTTCTTAAATTTATGTTGTAGCAGAAATTGCTAACGGGAAGTGTATGGGTCAAGTTTTGACATAGAAGGTAAGTAATTACCGACATCTCATCTTATTCGCTTGATATATTTTGTTTAAAGAATCAAATTTGAGTGAAGGAATAAATCAAAGTAAATAAACATGCAAATAAAGAGAAAAAAATTCTATCCATACAATTCACATGGCTGAATCAATCCATACACGATAAATATAGCTATAGCTATGTATGTTTAAAGAAAACAACAAAATCTCAAATAAAGTTCCATAACAAAACTAGTAAAATCAAAGAAAAGGAAAAAATTAATGTTATAATTCTCATGAAATATGTCAAATATGTTTTTTTTTGTGCGTCAATGTGGTACAATACAAATAGCATGAAAACGAACAAATAATCTACTTATAATTCTCATGAAATATAGCTCACATAGCTAGGTATGCTATCATATGTCAAATCATAGCTCATTAGTGTTAGGAACAACATACCCCTCCATCCATATTGTGTCATGGTAATAATGATGTTGTGTTCATTTTAGGCCTAAATTCTCATGGCTTTGTTGTTGATCAACTGGCTTGATACCAATGAATATAGTTCTCCTTACTTATAGACCAAGATCTTACCCTTATATAGCTAATATTGAAATTTGATCAAACTCCAAACAATAGTCCCCTTTAACAAGGTATCATATAATCTCTTCCTTGAATAGTTGTTCATGTATCTACTTTATCAGTCTAGTTTAGAGTTTGCTCTTTATATTAGCAAACTCTCGTTTTGAGCATACCGCCAATTCTGATATTTAGCAAGACACTATGGATCGGGATTTACATGGTGTTGACCCCTCCTTGTCGCACCTCTAACTATCCTCTCCAAAAACATCATATATTGGTCACACACTTCTAAAGTTAGTTCAATTAGCGTGTTGCTTATATTTAAGTAATCGTGTTAACGATAGAGATTTATTAACGTGTTACATCCATGTAAATATCCACTCGCACACACTATTTGCATTAGGTAAAGGACAACAAAATCAGAAAGACGAATGAGCAAGATTTATACTAGTTGGATCTTGACCTACTACATCCACTTGGAGAGTTTTATGACATGTTAAACACAATTATTATGAGATATAAAACGAAGAATAGATCTAAAATAAAGAAAAAGCTCTATAAAATAGCTTCAACGAGCATGCACAATTAAACTTAGTTCGATTTTTTTTTCTTTTAAACCGAAGATTGAACCATGTACCAATTACATGCTCGTGATCCCTAAACAAGTTAAAGAAAATATCTTTGACGACTTCTTATGTGTAAAAAGGTGGAAATCTGGGAAAGGACAATGAGTCTCGAACTCGAATTGCTTCATAGAATGAACTCAAAGCACATAATTATTAGTGAAAACTCATTTGGTAATTCTTAGGCCGTACCTGAAGTTGCAAGCCTGGATCCAAGAAAGGAAGAGTGTCAAGAAGCCTACTATTAAAGAGATGTACTTTTACTACTCGAGGAGCCTTACCAATTTGGGGGAAGAGAAGATCATAAAAGCTTGATTCTATGGAGGACTTGATGAAGAAATTCCCCTTAGAGTTGAACTTCAACCTTGTGCAAAGCAATCAAAGTTGAAACTAGACTTGAAAAGAGAGACTACAATATATTGGCAATCTTAATTCATGTCCCAATGATATGACACTCAAAAGAAAAACTAGTTTCCCTTTATTTATTATCGAGAATAAAAAGAAATACTTTGTAAAACCATACATGTGAATCCTATTAGTTAAATAGTATTACCTATTTGTATGCATGTTGTTGATAAGGTGATTGAAAAAGAACTTTGTTATACTATGCATGTACTTCCTATTCTATTAGTTAGAGAAGTAAGAAGTTTTACGTGAGTGGCTTGTTGAAAAATTTAAATTAAAGAAATTCTAATTCATGATTATTCTATAATAAAAGTCATAAAATTCAAGAACAATAAGACCAAGGATTGAAAACCAAATCTATAAAGATAGTAGAATTATCTAGAACGATTGATCATGACCGGTAAGAAGTTGTGATTTATGATATTCTCAACTATGCAATCTAAACTAAATATGGGCAATACTCTTTGTCTGACGGGAAAACAGGAGGCTCAAGTAGCATAGTCTGTATTGGGGACCATAATCATATATTTCTATGTTAATCCTAAGGTTTCCATAATATCCTAAGATTAATAGGCTAGATTCTACTCAGTAGACCACACCACTAAAGGAGAAGTCATGGGCCCATAATCAACCTCACTTATATGATCATTAAATAGTCCAAATATAATCGCTCTTTAATTTGTTATCCACATATTAATTAATTATTAAATTACTTCCAACATGTGTTCTTAATGTTGACTTAAAAAGTAGTGAGCTAGAAAAAGAAAACAAAAACAAAAACAAAGCGTGACGTTAAGTCTACTATCAGTAATTGTTGCAGCCAAACCTTCCATATTATCTAGAATATTTTTCTTCATTTTACGGTTGCTATTATTTCCTTAGTAGAAAATCATGAAGGTCAATATGTGTAAAATTACCTTATTTATTCTTTTAAATGTCTATTTAACAATTGTCTTGGTTTAGCTTCTGAAGACAAGAAATTCAATCAATTATATTATAATTTTATAGATCTTTCTTCTTTGACACGAAAAGAGAACTCAGTTGAGTTTCAATTGACCTTCATTCTAAAATCCTCTATCACACACATTTTTCCTCTCTACTTTTTTTTTTCTCATGGCAGAAAAAAGAAATCTCATTGACTATACAATCATTCCACCAATGCGCAAGTCTCATCTCTATCAAGTTGAATTCCTCAAATTACCTACTGTGGAAGTCACAGGTGCTACCGCTTATACGAACACTTGGCTTGGAGCATCACCTTACCGAAAAGGCTCCCACAGTAGATTCAATCAAAGACAAGGATGGCAATGCAGTGACCAACCCTCAACTCAACATATGGACCAACAATGATGGCCTCTTAACATCTTAGCTACTAGGAATCATTGTTGAAGATGTGTTAGCATTGATTGAAGGTACTGAAACTGCAAAAGAGGTATGGCATTCTCTTGAAGATCAACTATTAACTATGACTAAAGAGAATGAAATACACATTAACGAAGCCTTACTCACTTTGAAAAATGGAACCTTGTCTCTTGATGAGTAAATCAAGAAATTTAAGAGTTTGTGTGATAAGCTTGCTGCTATGAAAAGGCCTTTAGAAGATGTGTCAAAAGTCTTTCACTTAGCTAGAGGATTGGGGAGCAAATATAAGGATTTTAGGACAGCTATGTTGTCTAAACCTCCTTATCCGTCTTACAATCAATTTGTTCTTGCCTTGAAAACACATGATCAACTTCTTTCTATTGAAGAGGCAGAAGAAAAAGCTAGCCAAATTCAAGTTAATCAAGCTTTCTACTCAAACCGAGGAAGAGGTAATGGGAGAGGACGACAATTCTCCTCTCGAGGAAGAGGATTCCATCATAGTAGGCAACCAAAGGATCACAACAAATCTCAGCAAGGTACTTACTCTCCTTTGAAAAACAATATCTCACACCAAGGTGTTAGTAACATGGCAGTTYTCAAGCAAGACARAGGAATAATATRCCAAATATGTRGTAAACATAACCACACGGCTCTTGAATGTTGGAAGCKCTTCGATCATGCTTACCAATCTRAGGATATCCCAGAAGCCCTTGCTGCACTAACRTTAAATGAAGTTGAGGATAACAACATCTATGCTGATTCTGGAGCAACGTCACACGTAGTGAATGATCYAGGTAMAGTACAATTTGCTCRCTCCTATTATGGTTCTGACAAACTATTTGTTGGTGATGGTAAAGGTTTGAATATCACCCACACGGGTCAAACTTTATTTAAAACTCCAAAAGGTCAATTACATCTTAAAAATGTACTCATTGTGCCTGAAATAAAAAAGAACCTCTYATCTATCAGCAAATTGACTCGTGATAATAATTGTTCAATTACCTTCTTTGCTAATAAATTTCTTATTAAGGACCGACAGGGACAAGTGCTTGCTGAAGGCTACAAAAGAAAAAGGCTATATCATTTGGGAGAATTACAGACCAAGCATAAAGATAATCCAGCTGCCTACCTTGCTTCATGATCTACTGCTTTTTTTAAATCTTATTTAGTTTCTTACAACAAAGCACCAATTGATTCTGTTGAAACTGCTTTGATTGCTAATAAAGCTTCAAGTTCTTGTTCTATTTGGCATAAAAGATTAGGTCATTTAAATGACAATTTCTTAAAAATTCTTACTAATAAACAACTCATTAATGTGACAAGTTGGAAAAAGGAACAACAAGTATGCACTAGTTGTCAACTTGGAAAAAGTTGTAAGCTTCCTTTTAAATCTATTGAAAATCATCGTGAGAAACCTATAGATAAAATACATTGTGATCTTTGGGGACCCGCTCCTGTAGCTTCTTGTCAATTTGTCAATTTTTTAAATATTATGTCARTTTCATAGATGATTATTCAAGATTTGTGTGGTTTTATCCCTTAAGAAAGAAGTCTGATTTTCTTACTTGCTTTGTTAAATTCAAACTCTTAGTAGAAAATCAATTTGAAGGCAAAATAAAGGTTTTTCAAAGTGATGGTGGTGGAGAATTTCAATCTATTGCCTTTAAAAATATCTTGGAACAAAATRGGATCCATCATCAATACTCTTGTCCTTACACTCCTCAACAGAATGAAGTAGTAGAAAGAAAACATAGGCACATTGTAGAAACAGGTTTATCTCTTATTTTTCAAGCTCATATGCCTCTAAAGTATTGGGTTGAT